GGGGGGGGGGGGGCTCAGTCCTGCCCTGGCCATGTGGCTCAGCTGGTTGGAGCATCATCCCACACACCAAAAGGCTGCAGGTTCAATCCCCGGTCGTGGCATGTGTGGAAGGCACTGATCAATGCTTTTCTCTCCCACTGATGTTTTTCTTTCTCTCTCTCTCTCAAATCACTTTTTTAAAAAAGGGCTCAATCGCATGCTAACTTCATGCCCTTAAGAAAGTTACTTACCTCCATTCTTTCAGCTGCTTTACTAAGAAATATCAAAATTAAAATAGTATCTACCTCATGGGGTTATTGTGAAGATTAAGTGAGGTATGTCATAACCATAAAGCCTTAGAAGATGGTCTTACATGTATGTACCTAATAAATGTTCACAATAATTCAATCAACCATGTCAACTCTATTTCTATGTCACTTCACTCATATCTTCATTCAGGGCTTCACCAATTCGCCCCTAGATTATTACAGTAACCTCTAAACTAGACTCCCTAATTCTTGTATCTTCCCTACCCAACTCATACAACACATCTAAAGTATCCTTCCATGAGATACAAGGTAAAGAATCATACCCAAGGGATACTGAAAAATTCCTTATATGAGGAAATTGGACTTAATGAATCTTTAAGGATCCTCATAAATCCAAGATTCTATGATTCTTATGAAAATAGTACATTTTAAAATCTATACGGCTCATCTTAACTAAGTTGAAGAGGAAAGTTCATGGCATAACTCTACACCTAAATGCGGAGGAGGCGACTAGATTTCAAACACCGTATCTAAAATTTCATTAACCACCAATGTCACATAAGCCAGGTTGGCCAGGAATCAGAAAATAAAACTGGCCTCTTAGCAGCCAAGTTAAGCCAGTGTGTGCTCTATAACCTTAATTTTTTCACAGAAGAAATCTCACTATGGGCATATTCTTTTTTAATGCATGATTCTAAAATGTTTGGTAATACAGACTGTCATATTCCACAATAGATTAAAAGGAATAATATTTTAATCCAGAAATAGGGAAAAGAAAAAAAGGGAAAGGAGAATCGAGGAGGCAGCCAGTACATTGTAAGGCCATAGACCAGGACGTCACACAGATCAGAATGCTAATTCTCACCTACTCTTAAAACAACTATCTGGAAGGGAATGGTTTCTAAGCACTGTGTTGTAAAGGGTGGATTTGTTACTGCTTATAATTGTTGACAATATACTTACCACAACAGATTTTCTCTGGAAGTTTATGTTGTTGATGCAGACGACCTGATGGGTTGTACATTAAAAAAATATATAAAAATAAAGAAAATATTTCTCTTATTTAAATGAAGCATAATTCTACCCAAGAATAAGCAAAGACTATGTTCTAAGTAGCTCAAAATCACTTTATCTTTCATTTAAAAATCCAACAAATTTGGGTAACTTGCTTGTTTTAAATTTAGCGACAGCCACGAAAATAAATTTCTTTGGACAAATACAGTTTAGCACTTTAAGGAAAAGGTTTATTAACCTGCAAGGGGCATTGAATCTGTTGAATTACACTGCCGGGCAACGCATTTGCGCCCTACAGACCCCATTTCCGCGAGCGGGCTCTGGTCTCCCGCCGGGTTTCCCAGGCCCACCAAGTCAGTTTCCGAGCACACACAAAACATAACTGATGAAAACAAAACCCAGACGAGGAAAGGGAGATGAAAAAAATACTTATAATTTATACGGCCTTGGGCTTTCAAAGCCCTTGTCTCCTTTCTTCCTGTTCATCCTGGCGGGCTCTAAGCCAGTGGGCGGCATGGGGCGGTCGCGCGGGGCTCGGCGTCCCGGCTTCCCGGACAGCTGCGGGGCATCACCCGGCTACCGCTCCGCTCCGCACGCGCCGGCGCCCCGCGCTC